GTTAGATCTCATCTTCTCATCCATCAACCTATCAAATCAATAACTTCCAACGTTTATATATGATCATACTTCATTAATCAATTGTCACTTCATTCATTAGAATCCCACAAATATATATCCCCATCACATCATCAACACCAACTTCTCATAACCACACACATCTTCATCATGATACATCTAGTACTTCCATCCCGGCCAGGGCTTTGTTTACCCAACTTTCTTGAACCGTTTGTGATCTTAAACGAAGCAGTTGCGAAGGTTGGAGCGAATGAGCAATAACTAGGCTAACGTTGAACGTTGTTGCATATGCCCTCTTATATGAAGTTTTAAGATATGCGCGCGCGCGCTCGCGCATCAGCCATTTTCTCCGACACTTTGTTTTAATCTGTATTATCAGTATTTATATGTTATTCTGTAATTGTCACTATTATTTTTTACATTTTTTGCGGCGACCACGAAAATGCTGACGTTTGAAAAAGCGCGTCTTGACATCATCAAGCGCGTCCTGACGCGTTTTTTTTTCCCCCAAGGACGCGCCGAAAGCCGATCTTGGTCGCTGACGCACGGGGGGAACGATGAAGGCGGCAAGTTGCCGATCGAGCGGTCTTTTCCAATTTGTACACGCGGTGTACACAAATCAGTACGAATGAGTGACAAAAGCTGACGTACGACATCCCACACCCGGAACCCGGGACCCGATGCGGTCTGGATAGGGGTGCGGGGTTATTGAAACCCTGCAGTTTTCGGATTTGACAAACGTCAGCAAAACCCCGTTTTGGACACCAAGACCCCGATTTTGGTCTGAATAGGCCCTAAGTTACCGTCCCTGGCAACCGTCGAGCGCTCCGCTTTGGTTGATAGTCTTGGTCGGGATGATTTGCATGTTCAATATGGTCAATTGCTTAATTACAAAACATAAACAACGCTCAATGCATTCGACATGCCATTCTTTCCCTGCATGTTATGATTCAAAGTTGCGCTACTATTAATGTACAATTTGCTAAATATGTCTCCCGCAGTCATTGGAACTCTCGATCGACACCACAAGCTGAAATTGGATCCAATCCGTTAATTAACGTCAATATCGAATATGTATTGAATGATCGATGAGCTGTCATCTCACGACGTGCTGCAAAGTTCGACGCATCACAAACTTAGCGCGCGCCAAAGCTCGTTCGCGCGCTCGTTCGAAGGCCATTATACTCGTGATTCAAATTGGGGAGTCCTTTGAGCAATTTTCTGTACGTACATTAATATTATGGGACCGGCCTCATTGATCCGTTCAGCAATTCGCGCTGCAATTTCCGTTCTTTGAGAATTTCCAAGAGAGGCCTCAGAATAGCTCAAGAATGTTCCAGCTACGTGTCCTTCAATAAGTTTCAATAAGCACTGCTGTTGTTAAGTTTGAAGCCTAGTATGACCTAACTCGAACCGCAAACAACCGATGTAGAAGCCCGTTGCCGACATCGCCGCCTCATGTTTGCCATCTCTACGTGGGGGTGGATAGATGTTAGATTCTCACAGCACATAAGGTGCGCTTTTGGGTGCCTACTTGGCTTGAATGCTTGGCGACTAGCGTATAGCGACAGCCCCAACATTTGAAAATCTGCTACATTTTTCTCGTCTACAATGTACTCTTGTGCAAATCTAGATGCGTCTTCACCGATCTTTCGGACCGTGGCATCGTTATTGATTGCCCACTCTACTTTTCTGATCAGGTCGCGCTCCAAGTCGTTCGCCGAAATAGGTATGTAATGCTTGTACGCCTTCAGATCCGGGTAATACCATTGCCTGAAAGCCTCTTGAACCCTGAATACCACCGAGTTTGCTAGCAACAAGTTTCGGAGTCTATAAGTTGGCCCGGTTCCAAAAACATCCAAGAGGAACTTGAATTCGATCACTTGGTCCGTTCCCATTCTTTCTTTGACAGTCATAAGGTTACAGTCGGGCTCTTTCGAGCTAACTGCACCTCCATAGGAAGCTACAACACTTGGATACTTCGATTCGCACTCCTCTAACGAGCCAGTTTGCTTGATATCGAAAAGATCGGGGCGCAACAAACCCATTCTCAAAACCCGTGCACGCAGTCGGGGGTTACCAGAGAACGTCCCCCTCCAAAGCAATTTTGGGATCTTCTGATCCCACGGGACCGGAGGGTAAGAGTCTACACGAAAAAGGCTTCCCTGGCTGAAGTTTTGAGAACTCCAAGTGACACCATAGCTAGGCATAGCAAGCGCAGAGCAAGACTCCCCTGAATCCTCGAGCAGCACGCTCCACGAGAAGACAGGTGCAAGTCGCTGAGGGAGGGTCCTAAATGCGGCAGGGGCGCACTGGTCACCAAATTCGACGATAAAATCCACATCCGGGATGTCGAACGTTGCCAACACCTCTTGCAACCCCGTCAATGCATGTATAGCCTGCGAAAAATTCAAGGCCAAGCGATCAAGAGGAGGGTTAATCTGAGACATGGACTGTCAATGCTCCAGCCAGGCAGATGAATAAATGAGGAACGTGGAAGATCAACTCTTGGTGTACTCTCGTTAATCTGTTCGAACATAGTGCTTCAGCTGCTTGGTGTACAATTTCTCCAGAAGGCAGTCGGAGTTGCTTTGAAAATCTCCATCAAGGCAACTGCTAACGAGATTGACCTACTAGATTGGTGACCGTTTTCCTAGTGGCTTTCCTACACCCAGATTCTCCACAATGGGTGACTCTGCTTTGACCAAACATAAAGCAGAGTACACAAGCCTGAGCTTTTCAAAGGGGAGCTAAAAGTGGTGACAACAGAATGTTTTCACGTATGCGTCAAGAGCCTAGTTATCATCCAGATACGAATCAAGCATTGAAGAGGGTAGGTTTGTCATTTCCAGTTTACCCTTCATGGAGAATGAATTATATTGTGGCAGGATGCACTTGACTATATGTTGTAGAACTGTTGCTCGCTTGCTGAGCACATAAGCAAACAACCCTGCTTACTTAGAATCTGCTAGGCAAGGAATATACGCAGTCAAGCCCGTTTACTCACATAGCGGGGCCAGGAAAGATCGTAGAAGAACGTATCATTGTGTAGTGCTTGCCCCAAGGCAAACCACTCGTTCACATCCAGGATTGTGCCGTTGTGGGAGGGTCTGAAGTCGAGGTTGGGCAGTCGACTATGATTCTGAAGGGCAAAGAAGCGAATTGTGGATCCAAGTGTTTGTTCACAAATTGCAGGACTTCTGCTTGCACATCAGTGTAAAAAGCAACGATGCTTTTCTGCACAATCTGATACATAACTCTTCTTGATGCAGCTTTGGACTCTTCTGCTGCCGGCAACTTTTTGCAGCTGGATTCTTCTGCCGTTAAACACCAAGAGAACTTTCCAAGGAGCAGAACTGCAAGCGCAGACCCACATCGGCCGAAGAAAGAAGCATCTTGCATGTCGAAAGTCACCGATGCAAATTTGATGGCTACAATTTGATCATCAGTGGTGGTGGATATTGACTGTCACGTACCCGCGTCCCACTCAATTTCCACCACAGTCCCACTTGTTTCTGTGGCACCGGACCTAGTACACCAATCCCATGTATGACAATTGAATATCTCAAAAGGTGCGAACCTGAGGAACGGGTAAAAAGTAGACCAGATTGTTGATGATCTGAACACGAACGCCACTTTTGCAGTGATCAGTGGTGAACTTGCGCCCAGCCAGTTCCTCTTCCTTGCTCCAATCCCAGCACATGTTTTGCCAAGCGCCTTCTACCTGTATTGAGCCGTCAGGTTGGAGTGGATCGGTGTTGACAACTACTATGCTTTTCTCGTGTGGGGTAGGCAGACTTTGCATCAAGGGCATTCAAGTGTTAGCAGTTTTGTCCATAGAAGCCGACGTCATCAGAATAGTGTCTAATATTCTGATTTGATACAGCCAGATCAGCATGCTATGAGAACTTTGCAGCGATAACGTGCAGCGACTGGATTCAACAAGTGCGCACAGAATGACCAACTTTGGTAGAAGTCAATGGAAAGTTACTAACCTGTTCTTGTGTGATACGAGGGAACGCTTGTAAATCATGCAAGAACCGCAAAACCCTTGAAATACGGACACGATCGCAGCGTCCAGCTAGATACTTGTCTATGACGGCTTGCTCTGAATCTGTTTGAAGTCCTAAAGTCTCTTCAAAATCTTCTGATGAGGATTCGATGCGAAGGCAAGACTGACGTGGAAAGAAGTTCTGTCTTATCAAACCTGCATTGACTGTATAGCCTGCAGTGATTAGCTTGTCATCCTTCAATGTAGAGAATGCAATAACAGCCAGGATAGCAAGGATGGCCACGATCAAGAAAGGTCGTCGAGGCAATGCCAGCAGGCTCAAATGCCGCGTAGCCATCCTCGCGGGATCCTAGCCAGAAGCAAACGCATTTCCTTGCTTGTTCAAGATCCTGATTCCTATCCCTTTGGCCCGTGCAGCAGTGCAGGCTGGGATACGGTACTTGCGCAGGTAAACGTAATCTGGACATACAGCCTTACGGGACTACAGAGTTCCAGCCGGCCACCTGCCGGTGCCCCTTCTGCTTTTTAAATACGGGCGACGATCCCGTTCGCTTGTTAGTTGGATGTCCACCCGGGGCGTGTGAAGGTTAAGACCTCAACCTAACAAGAGCAGGCTTTGCTATACGAGCCCAAGCTATAAACCCCCTCACCAACCCGCCCTATTCCTGGGGGTTTTTCCAATGCGAACATGGTGCACGCATGTCGCCACTTTTAATCAAATTTGCTCGATAGCCGGCAGGACGTACTTTACCGGCCGTCTAAGCTCAGCAAGGCACGCGGGCGGTACGGTGCCATGTACCGCGGCTGGGGGATCCCCTCTCGGACCAGCCAGGTTTAGTTGTACGGGTTGGAGCCTGGTACAGTGGTAGTCCTACAACAAACCGATTTCAAAGGAGACTTCCATGTCCGCCCAGGCAAAGACCAATGAGCTTCGAACTACCTGATCAGGCATATCCGTTTGTAAAAGTAAATGCCGCCAAGTTCCTCCCCTCAAGCTGGCGCCGTCACTAGCTGGGCCCTCATACGTCCTCAATTCATATTGCATTTGCAGATCACTTTTTGCATGAGGAATTGTCACTCATCAAGGGCGATATTCCGATTGAGAAAAAACCGAATGAAAGCGTACTTTGAGCGTGCTAGAGAAATACTGAGAAGAGCATGCAAGTGTAAAGCTTTAGATCGATCAAATAAAACGAAGGCATTTCCACTTTCCGGTCCTTACGGGGCAATGAGCATGATGCATACTCCATCCGTAGACTGAAACTATTCTCGCTTTAAGGTCTAATGCTACGTCAATCTGCACGCCTCGTCAAAGGGCACATGGGGCGCCGCGGCCCGGGCATGCCAGGCAACTGAGAAAGCATGCGTGCTGACCCTCGCCGGCCCACACCATCCTGAAAGGCCAGCGCGCCCCGCCGCCCCGCGGTTAACTTATGCATGCATGCCGAATCCCCGCAGCTCGTCCGACCAACGATAGTGAGTGCATGACCGTGCCCGTTCAAACGTTGGTACAGTTAACCATGCCTTCGCATTGTACTAATACTATCGAAGAATGCCTTTCTGACAATTGATGCATGGACCCCGGACGTTCAAAGAATGAACTGACGATGATACAGAAGAAAAGCTGTGAAGACTTGAAGCGATCCGCAGCGGTCCCAGAGTAGCAACCGACTATCATTGCCAAACACTTCGGTGAGCTTTGTCTCTGATAGGCTGGCTACAGTGATTCGAAGCCGTCATCTTCCCTAAAGAACAGGCTTCCAAACACTCTATTGTAGAAGTCCTTCGCCAGCAGAAGTTTGCCGTCCTGTAGTCGAGGCACGTCGTACTTGCAAGCACGCATCGTGTCCGGGCAGTAGGTGATCTGCGCACGCAAATGCGACAGACAAGTTGGAACACGCGACGAGGGCGGTTTCACCCGCGTAAAAAAGGCTGTAAAACGGCGGAAATGAAACCTTACCAAGCGGATGCGGAACGTAGCAAAACCTGTCCCAGTCGGTGTTCAAACGCAGTTGCCTCGGCGCGGCATCAATGTATTCATTAAAGAGACAGTCTAAAAGCGTGCTTTAACTCGTTTTCCGTCGGCGACCAAAGGAAGGGCCTCACGGGGTCACGGCTACAAAGGACTTTCTAGATCAAACGCAAGACGGGGAAGGGCGTGGTGACGTGGACGCACCTCGAGCAGTTTCGGCTGCATGTCGGAGTCCAGCATGACGTCAACGCCGTACATGGCGCGTGCGTGCGGGTCGTGCATCTCGGGGTGCACGCGCGCCGCGCCCTCAAACACCTCGCGGAGCATTGCACGTATGCGCTCATGGATGCCCGACCATTTGACTGCACAGGAGCGAGAGCAAAGGTGAGATGGCTGGAGTGGTGCCTACATGACTCCAGCTCACCGAAGAGTCGTAGCCATTCAAAGGCAGGAAGGAGCATCTTGAGTTCTCAAATGACAACCCCCGGTACGAGCGAGCATTCTCGGGGAAAAAGGTCTGCAGTCGAGGACAAAAACGTACTGCGCGCCTGGACTCAATCCAACAGTGAAATGTCCATCTCTGCAGAAGGCAACCGAGTGCCGTCCTGTGCCGAAACAGCGGCGTGCAAAAGCTACTGTAAGCATATATCTCGAGAAAGCTGCGCAGCAAGACGCACGTTCCCTCAGCTAATAGCGAAAAATGCCCTGACCCGCGACATGTCGCGTCCAGTCGTCTTTCTGCCAAGCTCCTTAGTGCGCACTCACCGTTGTGGTCCGTCTCGAACTCGGCCACAAATAGGTCCATGTTGATGTTTTCCAGCTTCCGCCCGTAGTTCTGCGCAAACGAGGACCACTCAGCGGAGCCAACAGCTTCCGGCAGCACTTGACAATGACATGGCAACTGTAAGACCCCGTCCGACTCTTTGCCCTCGCTTAGCAGGAATAAGAGGTCTGATCGACAACTAGTCCGGAATTTATCAGTTAGCTTCAAGGGCCTATTTCTCTCCGATCAATAGGATTCTCCGTTCTAGTTACGGGTAAGCGCAGGGTTCAGTTTGGGGTTGTGCATCAATTTGAAAACAGCAAAACTTCGCTCCTTGCCCTCATTAAGGTGCTGAGCCTCGTCACTGTGAAAGCAGGCAAAGCGGGGAACCGCACAGGCGACTCTACCGAGCGAAGGCCTCTCGTGAAGGTCTGTGCGACCAGAAAAGAGCTATGTTAAGACCGGACCGCTGCGTACCATGACGGTGAAGTGCGTTTCGTAGTCGTCGAGGCTGCTCTGGTCCATGGTGTACGGGTTGTTGGAGAAGCGCGCCTGCACCGTAGACCGCACACAGCATCAGCAACGCTTCCAGCCAGACCGGCGCTGCGGCCAACGAAATGCAGATGCCGCAAAACCAAAGGTGAGGCTGGCCAAGTGGGAAGGAGATTTGAACATGAGACCAGTTGCCTCATGAACAACTCTGATATACTTCTCAGCCGCGGATGGCCTTCAGCAGGTGTAAGGGAGCTTCAGAATGGCTTCATTCGACTCCTGGCACATGCGGAACTCACGAAAAGGATGCCGCTGCCGCGCACGTCACAAACCACGGAACTTAGAATCCTCCAGCTGTCGAATGTGTCTCGGAGTCTCGTTTCCTTCGACGTTTACCTTCGGACTTGCTAGGGTCGGATTTTGAATACGATTAGATGCTGTCTCGCGGCTGGATACAGCTCCTACAGGTCCTCTCTTGTACCTTCAAACTATATTCGGCTGCGCATACGATCACGGAAGCTCGATTCTCGACGTTCTCACCCAGAAGACGTCGTAGAGCAGTACTTCGAGCGGCCGCACGCTGCGCAGGAGGACGACCAGGCGCAGGTCGAATTTGCGGCCGCGGAAAGTGGCGGGCCGCTCAATGTACTTCTGACAAATCTTGGGGCCCGTCTCCATCGACCTGCGCGGCAGGGACGGATGTGCGGGGTGCGCACTCTGTCGTCGGTTTACGTGCAAGAAAATCTGGGGCCTAGTAACCGAGGTGTAGCAGACTTGAGGATTTCCGGTCAAGCCAATGGACTCTTTGAGTCTGCAAGGCCCAAGTCTTCAATCATGCTCTCTCGAGCAACTTTCCGAAGTCTTCCCCAGCCAAAGGAAGAGCTCCTTTCGCCAGCTTGGGAGGCCGGTTACAAGTGGAACAAGAGTCTGTCAGCTCAATTCCGGGCTGCACTTACTAAAGTGAAGAAAATGCGCCCATCTCAACCGTCCTTGCCCGGTGGGATCTCTTTAGCGTTTGACGGCAGCAAGCTGCAGAGCGAAGCGTGCTCACCGGATGACCTGCACCAGGTTGCGCGTCACGCTGGCGTCGATGCTGCGCGCCATGTTCCACGGCTTCAGGATCCACAGGTTGTCCACGCGCGCGCGCTCGCGCTCCTGGAAGTCGCCGATCAGCGCGGGCAGCTCCGAGTCCAACTCGTACGTCGGCTGTAGCCACGCGGGCGCGCCGTGGGCCTGCAGACAGGAGCCCAGTCAAAGGTCAATCGCATGTGTACTCTCAACTGGAATGCGAATTGTCAATCGTCAATTGTCAATTGCGAATTTGTCTGACTCGTTTCAAGACAGGCTTCTGCTGTTGACCGGGGCGCCCACATGTGAGGGCAGTGTCCTTTTCCATCGAATATGGAACAGTGAGATTCTTCACGCGGCGAACAAACACCAGAAACTTTGAAAGGAACCGCTCGCAAATATGCTGCTCCCTAAAACTCTTTGGCAACTTGTGTATCACTGGTCCAATAAAAGAAGACAGCAGAAACAAGTGGGGGTTTTGGCTTGAATGATTACGCCCTGTGCACAACCGATTAAAAGCAACAGAAGAGAAGAACATAGCGATATCGGCAATGCAGCTCATCCACGGTTTCACATCAATCTCGTTTAGCCAGTTGACGCAAAACCTGTCACGAAAAGAGATCAGGTGAAGCCCACCTGTTTGACGGTATGGGCCAGGTGGTGCTTCATAACGATGCACGCCTCGAAGGGGAACTGGTTCATGTACTGGTCCGACCTCAGCCCGAGCGCAGCGCGAGAGGCTTCGTCAATCTGGTCGAACGCCCACACGATGTCCGCGTCGCGGGGGTCGTCCACTGCCAGCAACGCAGAAGCAGGGCCTCAGAACGGGATCGCAATCAGTGAGTAGAAGACTAGCGGACTAAGGGGTCCATCAACAAAGTGAGCAGCGACGTTGTTCCGTTTTGACAAGTGATGAACTCTATTTGCCTTACTTTGACCTCCTGTACACTTTAGCGTGTAGCGTGCGGCAGGGAGTCCATTTGTGGCGACTGCGACTTCTCAGGTTTTGGAGAAGCGCCAAAACTGAATCTTCATCTGAGCTTGAGGTGCAGAAACGTATCCGCGCGCGGTCCAGTGAGTTTCTTTTAGAACCTGCTTACTGGAAGCATTCACCTGGTCAGCACGATTGTATGGCAGAAATGCAGATCTGTTGAAGAAGTGCTGATGCCTAGGCACGCGAACAGTCCAGGCTCACAGGGCTCGTTATTTCTCAAAACCGCTCGAGCAACATACAAATCTCACAGAATTAAGGTCGACGACCTGGGCGGAAGGCCTTGAAGGAGCGACAGCAATGGCTGACATGGACAATCACCGCAACCCCGCGCTTTACCTTGCACGAATTCCGGCCGGTTCAGGTGGTCCATGCCCTCCCGGATGTCCGTGAAGACCTTGAGCGGACGTCCGTCAGCGGGGCGGATGCTCAGAACGGGGCCCTCGGACGCCGGGGGTGGTGTTGCAGATTGGGGGGAGACCGCTGCCAGCTTCTTTTTGTAGTCTTGGAAAACCTGCGACTCAAAACAACGAGGCCAGGTATATGTGTTTGCAGAAATTGGGAACGCCAGCCTTGCGAGTGGCTGAACGGGGGAAGATATCGACTCTTTTTTCGCATTCTTGGCGATGTTTGGAGTGAGAACAGAGGAAGAGATACGTGGGCACTGGCCATCAATCCAGGCCGCAAATGAGTTCCCTGCTCAGAATTTTAGCAGCCACTTGGCGCCAGCGGATGTGAAGCAGCCGGGACTCAAAAGTCATATCGAGCCTCGTATTAAAGAACGGACAGGTTTACAAATCAACGCACGGCGTCGGGACGACGTCTTCTGTTGGGCGTTTGCGTAGTGCGTCATGGTGGAAAAATCAACCGTCCTCCATACAAGCTGATCTTGGACACATCTGGCAATATCTGTGCTGATGAACCGGCAAGAGCAACTGTATAAGCACCTGCTCGAAGTAGTTGGAGGGGGTGTGGAACCAGGCGGTGAGGCGCGACGAGCGCTGCTTGTCTTCCGTGATGCCCTTGAGGAAGTCGCGAGTGCACTCGTCCCCGCGACGCAGGTCCTCGCACGGCCACAGCAACGAGTAGCTGCAAGGAGGAACAGTTTCAGGGAGTCAGCAGAAAAGGAGCCAAGCGACGTCACAGTGCTCCAAGGACGTCACAATGCTTGTGTCTTTGGAAATGATATAGCTTTAAGCCGACGCTGATTCGAATTTCACTCTTTGAAAAATTAACGAGGCGGGGCAACGCAAGCCGGACTAGAGTAGATACTCGAACTAGCCACTTTAATGACTCTTCCAGGATTCCTGATCACATGAGACCCCGGAAGTCCTTGCGTAAGCCTCATCAGGGGCATACCTTGTATTGCTTCGTCTAGCACGTCGAAAGAACAAGAAAGACAACCCTGAGAAGATCCTGAGACGACTCTGCACTATCATCTGGAACCACTGGATGTAGAAGGAGCAACGCCTAAGACGGCTCTGTGATGTCTTGTCTCGAACCATCAAAGAGAAGAAAGAGGAAGAGCCGTGCCATCCTATCTCAAACCATCAAAGAGAAGAAAGAGGAAAATTCTGAGACTCGCGCGGTGGCCCCCTCACCTGACGGCGGAGTTGAGCGTGCCGTCGGGCAGGTACATGAAGGGCATGCAGACCGCGGTGGGGCGGTCGCTGTGGCGCACAGCAGAGCCGAGCTCGTCCATCACGTACCACACTGCACGCGCGCATCCAAGGCGCAGTAAACCTCCGCTCGCGGCATTTAACATTTTCCAGATGAACGAATTGTAGCGAGATACGCGTCGACAGTGCTGCCGGCGCGTCTAAACAGTTTCGGCGCAGGGTCCGAGTCGGATGTCTCGACCAAAGAGCCTCCGAAAACTTGCATATCTATGTGCTGTGTGAGAGAGAGCTTTTGAGAGACAAGGCTGCTGGGAAGCTTTGGAGTGCAAATTTGTGAGTACGTTACTTACCTAGAATCCTAAGGTAGGTGGGAGAAAAACTTCTAGCGTTCTTCAGCATGCTTACATCGGTGAAAAGGAAGGCCCACTGAAGGACAGAAGCGCACCTGGCGTTTCGTCCAATTTTTCCTCGGTTGCGAGGCGGTACGTGTTGACGAACTGCCACATGGCGCGCAGCACGCGCTCCACCAGGGGCTCGCCAGGCTGCCACGTGGGCAGGCGGGGGTGCAGGGAAGCCTGCACGTATGTAGGCAGGACAATCAGCAGCCGCGGTTGCTGGTCAGGATGGCGAGGCACGAGTCCGAGTCAACCACAGCTTTGCAACTATTTCGGTTCCCTTGCAATACCCCCTCTTAAAGGACTATCTGCGAACTTTGAGGCAGTATAGAAAGATCGTCAAGGTAGAATTGAGGACCATCAGGAAACGAGAAGCGGAGTCCGACTCAGCGCTTCTTTCTGGGGGCTTTTTGTGGAGTCCAAGCTTTCTCTTCAATAGTAGGAACAGAGCTCGAGCCGGAGCCGTCTCAAGTTAACAAGCTAGAATGTCTCCAGACAACATTTCAGTCACCTGAAATCTTCCTGCCTCATATACTTTCGACCCTTCACGACTTCTACAAGCTCGCCCCATGCTCTCGCTCACCGTGATCGGGGTTGACCCCTTCGCGGCGAGTATCGTGTCTCGCTCCAGACCGTTGATCAGAGTGACTTTCGGCAGAGCATCCGCCACGTCTTTCAGAGTCGCGCCCAGCGGGCCAGGGACGTCAATCTTGAGAGACTGCAGGCTAGGCAGCCGGGCGAGAAGGGTCTCGAGCTCGGAGGCGTCTTGAGCCGATAAGGGGTTGTCGGTCAGGTCTAGGGATTGAAGAGTGGGGGCCTCCGTCTCGTTGAACAGCTGCAAAACGGAGAGTAGTGCATCAAATGATCCCTCATGTCAGGGGGCGGAGCCAGGACACAGAGCTGGAGCTACGGCAGCGAAGCTGCGCTTTCGAGGAATTCGTGGGCTAGGTCGACAGAATGAAACATGGCGTAAGGACCAAAGCAACATGGTCGACCAACCTGCAGTCGAAGGCTAACGCAGGCCAACATGGCGCAGTGGAAACTTCGCGCGAAGGAAGTCGAAGTCGAGTGGTTTGAAAAGTAAAGGAATCAAAACCCTATCCCTGCTTCCCAGGGAGTTCGCAAAGCTGATAGTCGCTTCCAAAGGACTGCATTACTATCTTCCTTCGGAGTTGGCCTCAGCGCGATCGGGCGCCATGACCATGACGTCAGCACGCACCTCGGGCTTGAGCCGCTGCAGGCCCCGCCCCGATAGGTCGAGCTCGTGCACAGTCCACAGCGGGTGGCGCTGATGCCCACTCGCGCCATCTACGCCGGGCGCGTCGGCACCGTAGACTGACGCAAAGAGGCCGAGTGCCCAAAAAAAGTAATGGTCTGTCGCACGGCTGCTGAAAACCTCGAGCAAGGGAAGCCGGGGTTGAAGCGTCTCCAGAACGTCAGCAGTCCTGCAATGTACGAGAAGGGGTGATGCGCGGCTTGCTGACCACAGGATGACATCAGCTTTTAATGACTTACGCATAGGATGAGACTGATGTCTATCAACAGAAATCTGGAGGAAGAACGACATTAATCGAAGGGAAATTACTGGGAGATGGTAGCAGCCGCTTCGAGTTTTCGTGAGTGTCAAGTGGCTCACCCGCTGGCGTAGACCGGGTTGTCGTTCAGCCAGAGTGCGCGCAGCGGCAAGAGACCGCCTAGAGCCTCGAGAAGGGCTGCAGTAGTAGCAATTTTGTTGCCCCACAAACTGAGGCCTACAAGGTCCTGCGCACCAAGGAAGCAGGTCAGACACAGAACTTCACATGACGAAGATGTCGAGAGAGGCACCGGATGAATTAACCATTCAGCTGTTTACATCAGCTTGGAGTGGATGACCTGCAAGAGCTTCTTGCATCTGAGAGACTAGACGTGAGTACCTGCTATCCTACAGCGGCATTCGGAGGAGTGAAAACAAGTACCACGATGGTCACTGGACCCTGTAAAAGCTCTGGACATTGTCCTTAACCCCTCACAGAACCGCCGTGTATGCTAGGAGGAAGTCCATGTGCTTTTTGTCCACATTTTTGTCCCCAGATTCTCGAGCTCACACCACAGCTTTGAAGAAGTTGGGGTAGACTGATACTGAAGGATCCTCACCGGGTACTTCTCCCCCAGTTTGAGTGCCACCAGCCCAGCATCATCCAGCCCGCATTCGTCCAGCTCCAGCCAGCGCACCGGCGCCCCTTTCTCCCTTGCCGCCTGCTCGGCAGCAGTCAGGACAGCCTCCACAGACTGGCTGGTACCGTCTGGGTCCGCTCCCTCCTCCTCCTCGGTGCCAGTGTCTGCCACACTCATGAGGGCAGCCATGCGCTCCACAAGGGTCGGCATTGCTTCCAGCTGCAACAGGAAAACATGAGAATGGTTCATTGAGTTGGTCCTGCGCAGGTTGAACAAGGAGAGCAGATTCTAGAAGATAGGGTGCAGGAGGAATGTGCAGCATAAAGTCCTTGAGTCAACAATGAAGTTGACGGGCATAGGCCTGCGATGGAAGGGTGGTGCACCAGCAGATGGTGTCATACAATGAGAAGATGCAACAAAAGCACGCAAGGATCACTTCTCAAAAAGGAGTGCCTTTTCTTGTGCGTGGGTGATGTCGTTGTACGATTGCTAGTGGTAGACACTATCGAAAGCTGCGATCTTTGCACTGCGCTGTTACAACCGACTTGACCTTGTATGCACAAGCCCCGATCGGCGCACCTGCTTGCGCGCACCCGCCAGCCGGAATGACCAGGTGTGATCCACCAGGAACACATCACTCTCTTTGTCCAGCCTTTCTGCGCTCGCGACGAGGCGGCGCTGCACCCCCCCTTCCACCTCCACCTCCTCCACCTGGAAATGCTGCCCCCCATCAAACACATCCTGCGTCAGCTTCTGGTGCAGCACCTTGTGCAGGGACTGGGGCAACCCCGACGCCGCCAGCAGAACGCCATGGACCTGGACAAAGTCCTCGAACTCCATGGCACCGCAGCGGGGGCAGCGTAGCTCAGCTTGTCATGTGCCGGCTGAATTAGGAAGACAAGATTTGGACAAGTGCGTCCTCGCACAGCGCAACGCGCAATGCTGTGCCCCTGAGGCTGCCAATGGAAGAATGCTGGATAGGTAATCCAAAGCTATCCGGCGCTTCACAATTTTGATATCGAAATGATTGTGCCATTCCAGCTGAAAAGTTCCTGGTCAGATTGACACACTTCGTCAACAACGTCTCGCCGTTGACGTGAACGGCAACTTCGAAACAGTGACTGTCGCAAGAATTGCTGGGAAAGCCAAAAACGGTCGTCAAGGTACTTCTTCGGTGTCATACGCCGAGCGTTGGAGCACAGCAGGAAGTGGCACTAGCAGGACAGGTGGTTGAGCTGCTTTTCACGTTTCACCAATTCAGAGAATAAGAGGCGCCCGAGCAAGCTAGCTCAGGAGGACGCACTACTTAGTAAAATAGGGTATCTCCCAAAGCAAATCACAGCCCGCGGATCAATTTGTGGTGCAGGAAGATATCTGCTTGTTGGCACTGCGCAGTAATCTCATCAAGGGTTGCAGCCAGGCCAATGGCCCTTGTCGTGATCTGCGGCCATCCTTGCAGTGGGAAGAGCACACTCGCTCGCTTTCTGGAAGAAGCCCTTAAGGTAGCAGGTGCGCAGACAGTGGTGATTCTCGGTGAAGACTCTCTCAATCTGACCAAGAGGGATGCATACAAAGGTGAGCATATTTCTTGCTTGGAAGGAGACAGCTGACGCAATGTTGATTCTTGTGGGGCTGCGGACAAATGCAAAGCATTTTTTTCACGACCGTCTTATTGCTGGTTGGAAGAGCTGTGAATTCATCAAGCATGGCGCTGTTTTCCGTCAAAGCCAAGCAGTGAGGCATGTCTTAGTCGATCTTCAGCTGGAGGCCTCCGCTTAGCTTTATCTGAGTGGCTCATGGTTTTCATAGTTGCTTCATAACAGTAACATCAGTAGCCAGCTCAGTCCTTAAACACACCACCATTCACATACGTGGCTGCAATGTTATGCCCTCACCCATCTGATCTCCTTGCGCAGACAACAACGCTGAGAAGAACCTGCGTGGTGTTCTGCGGTCAACAATTGACAGAATGGTTTCCAGGGACAAGGTGGTAATTGCGGACTCGCTCAACAATATCAAGGTGAGAGCCAAGAAATCCAGATCACTTTTGGTCCATATACCTTCATCTATGCCCATTCTGGTGCTATAGATGCTGGTCTTCTGATGAGGGTCAAGGCGTGTCTGTAAGAAATCCGTGCAATTGACACGCAGGCAGGAAAGCAGGGAAAGAGTCGTCCAGATCCTCAGATCTTATTTCAATCTGGAGCAGGGGTACCGCTACGAGCTGTGGTGCATTGCGCGTGCTGAGGGGACGCGCTACTGCATGGTGCACTGCGATGTACCCCAAGAGACAGCCCATGAGTGGAATGCTGGACGGGAGCCCACTGCTGCATACCCTCCCGAGATGTGAGTAGAAGATGCTGCAGTCAGCCATCGTCTTCGTTATGGTCTGAGAACATGCACGAATTTCTGAAACTCAGAGCTGCAAGCAGATCAGCCTGTTCATTGATGGTTCACAGTGTGCCTCCGAATAGGGGATGAGTTCAAGAAAGTTTTCTTGTTCAAGAGGAGAGTCAACTTCACGATCCAGTCGGTTGTATGTGCCAGAAATCAATCCAGATGGGGGCTGAAAGAAGAGCGAGTCTAGACTGGACGAGTTGTCAGGTTCGCAGGTGATTAACTCATTTGTAAATGTTCTGTCCCTTTCTGCAGTATGGACGATCTACTTCGGCGCTTTGAGAGGCCAGACGGACGCAACCGCTGGGACTCGCCACTCTTTACCCTCTACCCGGACCGAGGTGAGGGCCTTCATTGATCAATTCTGACTCGGCCTTTGATTTGAAGTCCAGCGATGTAGAAACGCGACATGTTCGATCTACCAGGAGAAGCTAAGGATCTCACTTCAGAGGCCGGTTCTCTGCTGTCCAACGATCTTGGAAACAGACAGAGAACGCAACAGTTCATATTTGCTACATGAGACCTGGTAGTCGAACGGCACCAGTGCAACCATCCATCTGTTGAGTCGGTGGGACTGTGATGTTTGAGGTCTTCAACTGCAAGGGCAAGCCTTGCACAACCGGCGCCTTTTCGTAAGGCCCTGAGCTCCTGATTCCCCCGTGCAGACGAGCTCAGTCCGTCCTCGCCAGGCATACTCGAGATCGTGGAAGCGATGGTGGGCGAACAGAAGACTGCAACGGGACGGGTCTCAAAAACACTGAAACCAACGATCGCCACACAAAACGCATGTCTTTCAAACACCATCTCGTTTGCATTGCGTTGCCTTGCTTGAGGTCATCGTGGATATTTCAAAGAAACTTTCTGATCGTGTTGGGGTATATTAGAGTATGGCTCCTGGAGATGGTCCTTATCCTTTTCACCCTGTCCTTCGGCCAGTCCTTTCCATTTCACCCTACCCTTCGGCCATTCTGGATGGTCCTGGCGACGCACGATCCGATCGTGAGCTAAAAGTGAAACAGCCTCTGTAAGTCTTGGTAGCCCCTCTGCTTCGTATTGGACTGCCGAGGAGACCGAACAGCCGATACTGTATTCACTTGCTTTGACTAGATGCCAAACTTGGAGGTCGAGCCCCGTGGTTCGAAAACTTCTGAAGACTTCCTCTCTCGCAGGCGCGCATGTCCGACACCAACCTGTTGTACGAGCTGGACCGGGCGACACAAGAGATCTTGAGCGCTCTTGTAGAAGCTCAAGCAAACGGACCTTCGGGATCCATGACTGTAGGAGAAGGGCTGCCCCCGGTCCATGTAGAGAGGCTGATCAATCTTCCAGAGTTAAGGCGGTACAAAAGGACGTTCATCAAGCTAGCGTCACAAAATATGGGCGCCGCCCCGCATGATACGCTCACTGCCAAGAGGATGTTCGTTGACTACATAAATCGAGAAATTGCTTCATCACGGACGTGACCTCATTGTTCTGGAACGCGTCTTAATTTTGCAGCCGTCTACGTTGTTCAGTGCAGCTTACCGGCAGGCTGCTGAGCGCAGGCACATGTGCTATCAAGCAGAGAGCACTGCTCAACAATCATGCATGACCCTAGTTATTACAAACAACCATATATCATGGCGTATACAGGTGCATGGCCATGCGCATGTGTCGAGTCGAGCGTGTAATCGATCTGTGAAGAGGCCACCACGGCGCTCCTATCGGGCATGCATGCTGACTGACTGATTCCTGCAAGCGAAAAATGGATCCACTTCCGCCACGGCCTAGACCGTCTCCACGTCCGTTGAGTCCTGTTCATATGCACACACTGGATGTGCTGGCGTGGAGAGAATGGCGATGAATACTCAACCGGGGGATCCCGTCACTGTCGAAAGGCGGCTATCTAGAAGTAACCGTCCCCGGCCAGCCTGGCCTTATACAATGACTAATTTCTTCTGACTTTCCAGTCACCATGTACTATCGAGTGAACAATTTGCATTGCAATTTAGTACACAATTACTTGTCTCCTTTGCGCAATATGCCGCGGCCAATGATGCAACGAGTTTCCGATCATGAACTGTAGCCTTGATATCGGGAAAATTCCCTTTTCAGTACCGACGGTACTTGGAGATTTGGGCAAGCAGAATGTGCGGAATGCGGCCATGTCTTACATCATGCCATGCATTACAAACTTGACAGTTCTGCGCACGACCTAGCTGTTTGATGCGGGGACTCACAACACCGACCTAGCTGTTTGATGCGGAGACGCCCCGACTCCCAAGCATCAGTCCTTTCAGCGAAGCGTATTGAGTTTTGCTTTACGAGTTAGCCGCCCAGAATCGAAGAGTTGCTGGGCGTGCAACGTCTTCCGCTGATTCTTGAAGTCCGAAGCGAGTCTGCTCGTGAAGCCAGACTACCTGACAGTTGTACGTATACTTACTTCTGAGAAGCTCAGTAAGTCAGACGCGGATCAAGTGCTGAGGCGACTCTCGCTGTAGAGTGTAGCAGTCTGTGGATGGGTATGCATAACCTAGCCATCCCCGTAAGAGTCGAAGGCCGGGCTCGTTTATCGACGCCCCTTTGAAGTAGCCAGCTTGCATCATGAAGCGCCTGCAGAACATCAGGACTCACCCCCCGAACTTGGGAACACAGTACCAGGCTTACAGGCCATGCTTCGACATGCTTATGAAGACGTGGTTGCATACAGTCGAGTCTCGTAACACTCGGCATTTTTTAGATTGGAGGCGAATGCTTGGAATTGAGAAGTGAAACGTCCAGGGTGCATCAGCATTATTGGACATTTTCAAGATTTGGGACGATCTGCAGAACCTTCTTGTTAGAATATCAAAACCCTCGAGCGTTTCTCCCACTAGCCCACTTCTGAATGATCAAAAGATTGGGAAGTGACCTCAATTGGTCCTTTTCTTAAACCTTTCAATATCCATCTTTCAGACGCGGAGGTTTTCAATGATTGACGTCTCTTACGTTTTGGGCTTCGGCCAAGATGAACAGGAGAGCCCAGCTGTCACCTTGACCGGAATATTGGTTGAAATTGATCTTTTTCTAACCTGCAACCGTAATTACGATCGACTTGCAGATGCGCAGAATCTCTATGTTTTTCAATTCCAGGTGAGATCATAAGACGTTGTTTCGTCTCTTGTTGCAGGATGGGTCCAAGACACTGTGGATTGCGACCAGCAGATTCAAAAGCACTCGGATGCATCCGATACTGGTTGGCTCTCACCATGAACTTCTCGTCGTTTTTGAGCCCTTACTTTCTCCAGTCCTGCCTGCGTGCTTTCGCCTGCACTAGAGAAGATCTCAGGTTGACTCAGAATTTAGGCCGAGAATCATCTGGCAGAGTTGAAACCTAGCGATCAAGGCAGTCAAGCTTAACTGTTTAAGCAAGAGGAGCTGGCACAATCGATTTGTTTGACGTCGATTGTTCATCGAGCAGGAGATGCCACCAAAAGCAATTAGGAACAACGTTTGCAGGATGTGCATACTGACCAGCTGCCAGTTCTTCTGCGCAAGTTTCGCTTCTCCTTCTCGACTACGCCGCTATCTTCATCCAAGGCACTGATAGAGAAGCCGGCTGCCAAACCACCTAGGCCCCGTCCCCAACTAGCAGCAATTTGTGAGAACCCCGCTTCAAGACTTTGTCCCAGTCTGTTCAAACCAACCGAGGCAAAGGAGCTTGACGCTCCCACCGAATCGCGCCTGAGAAGTAAAAAGACCTCTATGAGCACTGCTGTTTGCAAGAAAGTTGACCCCCCTGCCACATCGTGTCCCGGTAGACTCGGTAGAGTTGGAGAAAACCTCCGGCCACACACACAAGTTGTAAGCTGGCTAAGACGAAGGGCTTCTTACTCCGGCGTTTGCGCTCACGCTCATAATCCAAACTTGCTGCCAGCAAATGTTTGCCGCAAGTCGCTTTTTGCTCCTCTTTCAGAGTCATCTTTTCAAGATTAGTATATGCTCGCTGAACACCAGTATTCTCAAACACCTTCGGGACATCAGCAGTTGTGCACTTCATTGAAACGACATTGATTCAGTACCGAATCAACAAAAAATAATATTAACACTGGGTCTAATGTCTGATCAACACCGATAATAAATCAACAGCTGATCGACTGCGGAACTCTAGTTGAAATCAAATCGACGTCCTTTCAACTCTTGAATCAATACATATAGGATGCTTCGATTCAACGTCCAGCATACACAACACGTTTGCTGATTCGACGTAACGCTCATGATGATATAA